CAGTTCCTCAGCGTTGCCTGGCTTGTGGAGGCTGACACATCACAACTCGAGACATCAGACACCAAATACCAACCTATCTGGTTTAAAAGATGAACAACAACAAAAATACAAACAGTTCTGTGAAATAAAGGACCCAGGAGTCAGCCTGATGGGCATATGTCCCTCTGTAGGAAAACATATTGGAAGCCCAATCAGGCTGCAGGTAACGTTACTGGTACCTCCACCACCACAACAGCAAGGTCCCCTCATGAGTGTGTGGACTGGATATACCTGCCTTCAGCCCCCTGGCCTTGGACTGTCACATTCTTTCCTTACACACAGTTAATACCATTTACTCATCAGAGGCTTTACATGTGTTAATTGAGGTTCCTGAGGCTATACCTTGATCTCAGAACAAGAAGAATCTTAATCTATCTGTTACATTTTAATTTCCTATTACAGTAAAATGTATAGTAACTGCCTCACTGCCCTTCTGCCTTACCTGAAAAACCTCTTGTAGGGCCAATGCAAGTCGAAAACGTAATCACTGTTAATTTCAATGGGAAAACATTTTATACGTTTCAAGTCCCCAAACTGACATCCATTCATGTGAAAACACCAGATCTCTTTAAGACGGACACAATTACATCAATAATTAACATTGCTTATCATAAACACATAAAGGCATTTTCTCTTCATTAATTATTACTAATTACACTATTATTCTATAATATGGCCATTTACCTGTTGTTTCTTAGCTTTTATGCCCTGTACTATTTAAGACTAAATTTATAACAAAACATACATACAGATGATACCCAATATTTATACAATTCAACTTTTATTTTTAACAAGAGAAATAAAATCAATGAAAACCATGCAAAACCATGCAATGAAAACCATGATATCACCTTTATCGAACAGTTGAAATAAAAGAGACATGATGTAAGATTATCCCTGCTATATTTAAGCAAAACACTAAGAAATGTGATGGGAGAACCTAAGGTAACATGGGCCAGCTATGTGAAGAAGATACACGGTGACTCTCTTCTTCAGCTCTAAGAATTACACCAAGTAAATCCAACCTGATAGATGCAAAGAAATGCCTTGGGTATCAGTTATGTTTTATTGCAAAACAAACCACCTCAAAACTTACTGGTTTAACTTTAAAACAATAAACCTAATTTTTCACTGGTCTATGGGTTTGTCGATGGGCTTCTTCTGGTCTAGACCAACAAAGCTGGGCCCAGATGGTCTACAGTGGCCTGGCTCACATGTCTGATGGTTGGCAGGCTAGTTGGTCTACGGAGCCACACTCATACGTCTGGCAGTTGCTTAGATGTCAGTTGGGGTGATGACCACATGTCTTTCATCATTCATCAGGTTAGCCAGTTCTTCACAAGGTGGTGGAAGAGTTCTCAGCAGCAAGAGAGAGCAAGCTATAATTGTAAGCACTTTTTAAGACTTCTAGTATCAGAAGACTGCTAATATCCCATAAAACAAAGCAAGTCACGTAGCCAAGCCTAGATTCATAAAATGGAGAAACAGACTCCACCTCTCGATGGGAGAAGCTGAAAATACTATGGCTATTCTGTTCAATGTACCACACCTTGGAAGCCAAAGTAGCGAGATTAAATGATATTCCTTGTAACCAGAATGGGTGAATATCTCAGGATTTAAACACATTACTATGAAAGGGGAGGGAGGTGTTTCTGTTTCAACTACTGAGGTTATCTAGTAAGGCTGCCCTCTTGCGTCCTCTACTACATGTGAGGCAAGGAAATAAAACCAAAGAGGTAGGCAGAGGCTAGGGCTCTGCAGGCCACATGATGGAATTTAGGTCTTGATCCCAAGAGTAATGGGAAGCCATAGAGCATTTTAAGGAGAGAGATAAGATCACTTGGGTTGCAATGAGGGCAGTAATTCTAGAAGATTTGCCAGGAAGGGGAATCTTGAGATAAGGCTTTAGTCACAGAATATGGGGTCAAAGGAAAGGGTTTTTTGTTTTGTTTTGTTTTTTTCAAAGCAAAAGATGGTTGAAACTGATGGAAGGATCCAATACTGCAAGAGGTTAAAGGGAGAACCCTGAGAATTGGGAAAGGAAACTTAAGCATGCATGGAAAGTTTGGTTTAAAAAAATTATCATACAATACAATTGACTGTATTTTTCTTATACAGTTCTATGGATTTTAACACATGTATAGACTCATGTAACTACCACCACAGTCAGAATACAGAAGAGTTCCATCACCCCAAAACCCTTCTTTTTGCTATCCCTTTATAGTCACTCCTCCATCCCTAATTCCTGGCAACCACTTATTCTCCATCACTATAGTTTTAATATTTTCAAGATTTTCATTTTGAGACTAGCTTCCTTCATTCAGCATAATGCCTTTATTGTTATGTTGTTATAACGCCAAGTTGTTGGGTGTATCAATACTTCCTTCCTTTTTATTGCTAAGTAGTATTCCATTGGGGTCAGCTTCTGATAGAATTCCCCAGGTAGTAGTGATATCACTATTCTACCAGTTACTTGGGGCAAAAACCTTGATCACCCTTGACTCTCTTCTCTAACCTATACATAATCCATTAGTAAATCCTGTGGCTTTACTTTCAAAATACACCCGAAATCTGACCAGTTCTTCCCACCTCCAATGCTGTCATCTAGTTCAGGCCACCATCACCTTCTGCCAGGACTAGTGCTTCCACTCTTACTTCGCTACCCTCATTGTCTATTCTCCGTACGACAGCTAGAATGAAACTTTTATTTTTTCATTTATTTATTTTTGGCCATGTGGCATGTGGGATCTTAGTTCCCCAACCAGGGATCAAACCCATCCCCCCTGCAGTGGAAGCTCTGAGCCCTAACCACTGGACTGCCAGGGAATTCCCTCAAATGAAACTTTTAGAGACAAATCTGATCAAGTTAGTCTTGTGCTCAAAACTCTTCAGTGGTTTAAGTGGTAATGATCCGAAGTTGCCACCATGGCCTACAAAGTCCCACATGACTGGGCCCCTGCCTACCTCTCTGATGTCATCTCCTACCACTCTCCCCCCACTCACTCTGTATCAGCTATAGTGGTCTCCTTGCTAATTCTATAGCATGTCAAGCACGCTCCTGCCTCAGAGCATTTGAATTTGCTGTCTCCTCTGTCTGGAACATGCTTTCCCTAGTTATCCACATGGCTTACCCCCATCAAGTCAGTTCCAGTTTCTGCTTAAGTGTCCCTTATCAATGAGTCTTTCTCTGACTAATGTCTAAAATGGCAGCCACCTGAGACCAATGTCTAACCCTTACCCTGCTTTGTTCTTCTTAGAATACATATATATATACATATGTATAAAAACAAATATATATGTATTGTTTTTCTGTCTCCCCACATTAGGAAGATCCTTGAAGACAAGGAATGTTTTTGTTTATTGCTGAACAAGCACCTAGGTGAGTACATGAGTGCCTCATCTGGCATACAGTGGGAGTTCAATGAATTTTTTTTTTTTGGCCGCACCGCACAGCATGAAGGATCTTAGTTCCCCGACCAGGGATGGAACCCGTGCCCTCTGCAGTGGAAGCATGGATTCTTAACCACTGGACTGCCAGCGAAGTCCCTCAATGAATAGTTTTGATTGAGTAACTTATAGGAGGAAAGGACAGATGGGAACATATGTAGATTTCTAGATTTTAGGGCATTCTACATTTTCTATTACTTATACAGTAAGATAATCAGGGGAAGGGGTACGGGAAGCATAGGGGATTAGAGACTTGCCGATAGTGGAGAGCAGGTTAACTAGAAAAATATAATGAGATTTCCAGACACTGTTCAAAGCCCATTTAAGGCTAACATTATTATATTTAGTGATGCCAATCTATTCAGCAGGACAATTTACTATGACAAGGTACAGGCATTGAGAAGCATGTTAGTCCACCCGGGGTGGAGGACATAGTTGGGGAAAAGAGGAGTGTTGGGGCAGGCTTAAGAGTAAGTAAGAGGGGGATTGTAATGATGTACCATTGAATCTAAGATGGATAAGGAGGGAACTGAAGAATGAGAATTAAGTAGAAGCTTTCAACAGATTGGAGGTTCTGATAAAGTAAAAAAGACAGTTATGGTGAAGTTCTTAAGCAGTCAAGCTAAAGGTTATCAGGCTGTAGTTGGACAGAGGGATGTTCAAACTACTGATTCATAACAAGATAGGGTTTCTAGGGACAAGGTCCAGGTTTTTGACTGGGATTGGGAGGTTGATGTAAGGGATGAGGCCTGCATGTTAAATGAGTTGTCCACAGTGACTCTGAATTTATCAAGATGGAAGATGGTTAGAGAAGAGAAAGTAAGACAAGGACCTGAATGCACATATTAGCAGATCATCTCTACAGAGGCGGTTAAATGGGCGGCAAAGTCTTACAAGTAAGCGTCAGAGAAGCAAGGGCTTTTACAAGAGGTGACAGTATATGGCACCTTGCCCCCACTTTTGGAACCTGGGAAGCGAGAATACTAACCCATGTGAGGGAGCTCCAGGGGACGCAGCATCCTCAGAGAACAGAGAAAAGCTGATCTGGAAGCGGGAATCTCAGAGGAAGATCGGTTTGAAGGTAGGAGGTTGGGGAGGCGACCGAAGCAGCAGAAAACCCTGACACTCCTTGTCCTTTATTTACCTTCCTCCCAACCTACCGCCCGCCCACGCTACACCAACCTCCCCAACTAGAAAACACTCAGAAAAGAGTGTAAGCACACCGGCTCTTTTCAACTCCCCGCGGAAGTACTCACACCGGAACTCCTCCATGTCTGCGCTTCCCCATTGGCGGAAGCTTCCGCCAGCTTCTACTCACTTCCGCCCACGACTCAGTTGGGCGGGGCTTTCCCTAGAAGTCACTTCCGCCCGACCCCGCCCCTCGTTCCCTTTTTGGCCGTTTCCGGCATCAGGCCCCGCCCCATAGCGTGTGACCCCGCCCCCTTCCCGCCCCGGGCCGGCAACCCGGCCCCGCGGCGCCGCTTCCGGTGCGGGCCCCGCCCCGGCTGTGGCCCCCGGCTGCGGAGAAGTCCGAAACGCAGCTGCCGCGCCGGGGCCTGAGTGGCTGCCTCTTTCACCGCTGGCGGATCCGGAGCGCCCCGTACAGGTAAGCCGCGCGGTGCCCAGCTCCCTCAGCCTTGGCGGGAGCGAGGGCTGTGGCAGGTGGAGGGGACGGCGTAGTAGGAGGAGAGGCAGGTGTGTAGGGGAAGACGTGAAGACGCGGGCCAGTGGAGCACGGGGGCCAAGGAGGAAAAGTGAGAGCGCTGGGAGGAGCCCGGAGGCGCCCTCGCCCATTAGGGTGATATGAGATAAAGGGATGGGAAGAGTGAGGGGCCCCTGGGAACTGAGAGGGCTAGAATAGGTGGGGTTGGGACAATCTAAGAAGAGCCGGCGGATTGGCTGGGAGGGCTCAGTAGAGGTAAAAGTGATAGAGTTGGGTTGTGGGGGTATAAAGAATGGCGGGGGGTGGAGGTGTGGGGCTTAAAGGGGGCTGAGGCCAGAGGGGTCCGGCAGCGAAGGTAGAGGGAATGGTGGGCGAGGCCGGCTTCAAAGCTGCAAGGAGTCCGTTGCGCCGGGCTTAGAGGTTCGGGAACTTTAGGAGAAATGAGGGAGGGAGCCGTGTGAAAAGATGGAGTGGATTTAGATTTCTGAGACCCAAGTTTTCTAAAAGTAGGCAGGTGGTATTGTTGTTTGGATCAACTAGCTGCTTAGGGACAGGGGAAAGATAGGCTCTTTGGGGGAGGGTGTGTGTATCGAGTTGTAGAACTGAGTCATCTCAGTCTTAACTAAAGAGGCTGTGAGACACCACCCCCTCTGCTGGGGACAGCATACAGAGAAGATGGTGCCACAAGATGAGAAGCAGTTGTTCAATGACTGGCAGGACTTGCATGAAAAATTATCCCGCTTGTGATTGATTGATGTTATAATGTTGTAAGGAGAATTAAAATGACCACCGAATTATTTTCTTTATTCTTTGGTTTACTTTTCTTTGATGCAAATTGTTTTTATTTTAAATGAACACTTTTGGCAACTGGATTTAATGTGGGTGTAAATCTTTGCATGCTTTGTCACACTATAAAAAGGGCTATAGCAGAATGAAAGTATTGCTTCCGGCATAACTCACTTTCTAAAGTGCCAAGAGAGGAAGTAAAGGGAGTAAGAGGCAAATTGGAATTTGAATCTTTCACAGAATGCAAAAGACAAAAGCAGTGCTTCTAAGATTAAACAGAAAATGAGAATTTTAAAATTTCTACTTTTTTGCCTAACTTTAAAAGTCCTACCTTTTTTCTCTAACCCGGTTTTAAAAAAATGCCTAAATCCAAACAGTTTTTATTGCTAGGAGTGTGATTACTTCCCCATGAATTTTTGAAGATACCTAGATATTTAAGTTTTGGGGTTTTTTTTTTTTAATTTTTCTACCCAGTCCTAAAACAGTGGAACAACGCAAATATCAAGTCCCAACCTGTGCAGTACAGCTTCTTCTTTCATGTGATGACAACGTTGTACGCCATGTTGCAAGTCCTGTTAACCTAAAATTTGCCCATGCATAGTAATCCATTCAGTTATGGAGACTTGCTGAGGAAGCATAACTCAAGTGAGGTTTGCTGGGGATGGGGGCCTGGAAAGGAGGAAGGGAAGGGGGGTTGGTTAGAGGAGGAGAGGGTGTGAAAGGGGTGTGTGTTTGGAGACTGATTGGTAAGAATGCTGATAAACCTGCCCCCAGAATACTTTTGGCCTGAAAGCCTTTTCTTTTTGTATTCGTCATAGAATGTCATAGAAGTGAATCAGAAAGAAAGGGGATGTGAAGAGATTTACTAGGCTGTTTATAAAAAAGAAGCTTTGCCTCCTTTACACAATATTGATACCTGTTTCCAATTAATTACCTTAAAAATCTCCAGAGGAATTCCCCCTGTTTGTTTTTTGAGTGCCCATTGCAATTTGAAACTCTTGCCTCCTTGCGTGTTTCTTTCTCTCATGTTGTTGAAATTGGATTCTTTTTGAGGCTATAATGTCTGGTTAGCATTGGCTCAGCCCACTCAAAAAGCAGGCTTGGCAGTTTGATCTGGGGAATTTTAAAAGTTTAAACCTAAGAGCAGTTTGCTAGGTTCTGCTTTTCTATGAGAGAAATCTTGCCGTCTGCCTGATAGCTCTGTGTCTTGCTTAGATGGTAATACCTTTCTCTGATGGGCCTGGGGACCTAAGCAATATTCTCTTTCTTGTAGGCAGGCCCTTCTTTCCCTTTTTTTTAATTATGGTTTTCATACTCGCAACCTCTGTACAGCGTAAACCCAGTTGCTTTTTCAGTAATAAACAGATTAATGTTTGATAATGTTGAGGAAGAGAGATCAGAACACAGATGTTTGCAGACTCAATGTCATCTGGATTTACTTCGTTTTAAACCCACAGTAGTCCACCGCAGCTGCGATTCATCCTGTATTTCTCCTCTAAAATCCTGTTCCTCTTCTGCATACTTTTCCTTACCCAACTCCCACCACCCCCTACCCTGCCCTATCCCCACCTCAAACTCCCACCACTTACTCATCTTAAAACTCAGGTTTACGGGCATATGTTTAATGCTCAGAACTCATACCCTTTACTGGAGAAAAGAAAACCTTTTTATACCTGCTTTACATTGTTGGTTTTTTTTTTCCTTTTTCTTTTCTCCTTCTTTGTGGTTTCTATTAATCACTTAGAGGTTTACACCCAGTGTGCCTGCCGGGCTGTGCCCAGGTTCAGAGCCATGCCAATCGGTGGGTGAAGCTTGAGGCAGTGATGGAGCCACTGCAGCCTCAGCAGAAGCAGCCGCCGCCGCCGCCACCGCCACCGCCGCCGCCACCACACCTGGCTCCTCTGCAGATGGATGCCAGAGAGAAGCAGGTTCAGCAGATGAGAGAAACCCCGTTCTTGTATGCCCAGAAGCTGGTCACACAGCAGACTCACCTTTCTGCCACACCTGGGAGGCCTTCTGGCAGCCCTGCCCTGGGTCCCTTAGCCAGAGTTCCACCAGCCCCAGGAGTGGCCCGAGTGTTTGAACGGAGCAAGGTGAACTCAGAGCCTGAGGAAGAGGAAGGAGGTTTGGAAGATGAGGATGGGGTTGATGAAGTTGCAGAGGTGGCTGAGAAAGAGACCCAGGCTGCTTCCAAATATTTTCACGTGCAGAAGGTGGCTCGCCAAGACCCCAGAGCCGCACCCGTATCTGGTCTGCTTCCAGCACCAGAGCTCCCACCACATGGACAGCAAGCTAAAGAAGACCATACCAAAGATGCTCCTAAGGCCTCAGCTTCAGTCTCCACAGCAGGGCAGCCGGGCTGGAATCTGGATGAGCAGCTCAAGCAGGTCAGTCTTTCTGGTATGGGGGCATTATTTGTTCTCCCTAAAGACTAGCCAGGGAGAGGTACTGGACTGCCAGGGTCTGTGCCAGTCTGTGCCTTCTCAGCCTACTTCAGTGACCAGCAGCCTAGACGTGAATAGACTGAGTTTTTTCCTCATAGTTGTTTTCTTGATTAGAGCAGTGAAATGTGTAAGTTACTCCTAATATAGATTGTTCCAAGTTTAATATGGAAGACCAAGTACAGTCTTCTTTTGTTTAAAGGAAGAATGAGATTGCAACAGTGTTATGAGGGATATCTAAAAATGAGATGTGTGGCTCTAATTTCAGTTTTTCTAATAGAAGTTTGATAAGAGAACAGTCTTGCCTAACACAGTGTCTTAGCTCCAGGCTAACCCAGGATCATGCTTTTTAAGGTCAGTTTTGTTGTTTTGCTCCTAAACATAACTGATGAGAACCTTTTGCGTTGTGTATATTTTCCAGCAAAGAGTCTTTAGACATGATTTCATTTCACCCTTATATCACCTCCTTTGAAACAGGGCAGGGTAGACCTCACAATTCCCTTTTTATTTTTTTACTTTTTTTTTGCTGTGCTGTGCGGCTTGCAGGATCTTAGTTCCCTGACCAGGGATTGAACCCAGGCAGTGAAAGTGCAGACTCCTAACCACTAGACCTCCAGGGAATCCCTCACAATTCCCTTTTGAGCCAAGGCAAGCTTCAGTGATTCCCAAACATGGCAGAGCATCAGAGTCATCTAGGGAGTTTTTAAAAATATAGATTCCAGGGTCCTAATGAATTATCCTAGGGGGTAGAGCCTAAGGAATCTGTGCTCTTTGCCTTCTAATTCTTCTTGTGTTTCTGACTTGCCATGCCGCTTTTCTTCACCCAAAGAATGGGACTGATGATCAGTTCTTCCAGGCTAAGTGACTTGTTGGTGATTAGGCAGGGAGTTCATAATAAAGCCGGTAATATTTGGGTACTCCCCATAAGCACATACACTCCATGTGGTCCAGTGGTGCTGTTGAGAAATTAGTTGTGAAGGGCTATGGATTTACACAGGGCATCCGAGAAGTCATATGAGAAAGGTCCTTTGCAAACTGAAAACTCAGCATCTTTCTATCAAGGCGCCCTGCCTATGCAGTTGATCTGAGTTTCGCAGTAGCAGTGTTTGTAGTAGATCCCAGAGCCAGCAAGGTGGGGTTCAAATCCCATCTCTTCCATCTATTACCCTTGTGATCCTTTGGTAGGGCTCAATTCCTTTGAGCCCTCTGTGAAATCAAGATAACGAAGCCTACCTCCAAGGATGTTGTGAGGATTAACAGAACCAGCATGTGGTGGGTAGTAGTGCTCCAGGTGCTCTTTCATGCAAACAGTGCCATCCTCTGCTGCATCCACACAGACATGCTCGGAAGCGGGGGAGACGCTGAGATGCACAGAGGTTTTCCCTCAGATCACCAGGGAGGTAGTGGCAGAGCTCGGACTAGGATCAGAGAATGCCAGCTTCCCCGACAGCAGCAGCTTGGCCGCCAGCCCAGATCCGCCTCCCGGCTGATTGCTTTGGTTTAGCAAAACATCTGTGACTTGCCGGCAGCCCCCGCACTGCTGTGTGGTTGGCAGAGTTCCATGCTGGCCGCTGAGTCAGCTCCTAGTGGGATCCCGCCCTGACAGCACTGGGAAAGTTCAGGCCCGAGGTGGCTGGGCTGCCCCCGCCTTGGCAGCTGGCCAGCCTCTGCGTGTGTGCGGTCGTTCCTAGAAAGTACAGCCTCGTGCGAGGAACAAGTGGAGCTCCAGAGCCTGTCTGTCTTCAGGAAGTGCAGCAGGTGTTGAGGTCAAGCCATTAGAGCTTTGAAAAAAGACACTCTGCAGAAGTGGCGTGTGTGTGCACACACGTGTGCGCCATGCAGGCACCCAACACTGGTTCTAGACAGCATCAGCCCCGTGGCTACACAGCTCAGTGCTTGGGAGGCTGGCTGTTGGCTTCTGAAACCCTTTGAGTTCATTTTAAGTTTCCGAGGCATACTCACTAATTATAGACTGCCTGGCAGAGCACCTGCCAGAATGTTTTTAAATGCCAGCATAGCTGAGGCCTAATCTCGCACCCTAAATTTACCCTCCCCCTGGATTTGGAGATCAAGAGCTGGGTTAGGGGGTCACTGGGTAACGATGACTTTAAACCTTAGATGTGTACCTTCTTTTCTCCTTTTGAATTTAATTTTTCAAGATTGATTTGGTCTGTGCCCTCCTCCTTTATCTAATCCTTCTCCTAACAGTGGTAAATAATGTGCTTGGGGATTTTTTAAATGTTTTAGTTGTGCTTTGGAAGGGAGACTAAAAAAAATATATCCTAACGGAGAGCCTTTAGAAACTACTACAAACTGTGAGACTAGCTTTTCTTAAAAATTATTCAAAGTCTTTTGTTTCTTATGCAGTTAACTTCCAGAGAGCAGAAAAAGATCTTATTAATGGGTGACGGTGTCCATTTTGTTCTTTTACATAACAAACTTTTATCGAGGCTTCTTTAGGCCAGGCCTCTGCTCCAGGGGCTAAGGCATGCTTCTCCCTTGAAGAGCTCACCAGCTAGGTTTAGCAGAGGCAGTGTGGGAACTCAAGGGGGATTGAGTCTTGGGTTGCAACAATTCTGCTCTGTCCTGACTCAGTTAAAGCCCAACTGTCCAGTCTGAGCTATGCTGCAGATGTTTTAAAACAGAGTTTTGTTTCAGATATTCATACACCAAGATGAAGTTGATTTTGTCTACAGCATAGCTAACATAGCTTGGTAAATCAACAGAAATACTCAAAAGTATTTACAAGATTGGGGCTGGTGTGGGGGCCGCAGCGGGCATCTGCCAACTGCAAAGCAAAATTTGGAACGCTTAAGGGCTCCACAGATTATCTTTTGTTTCTGATATCACACTCTTATAACATGTAAAGTCAAAATTATTTCATGTTTTCTCCTTGAAGAAACTCTTAGAAAGTAATTTGCTTCTCAAGGCCTGGATTGTTAGAAAGAGTGTGGCATCCTCTGACACCAGAGCGATGGGAAGATGGATAATGCCATTGAGCCAAGCTTCTAAAACCCATCAGATTTCGATGGGCAGAGTAAGTAATTGTAAAACAAGACAGCAGAGAGCTGAGTGTCCCTTCTCTCAAGGGAGATCAGTAGAAGCCTGTCAACATACAACCAGCTAGGGGTGTTGCTGGCCTGTTAGGGGTGGTCTTCTGTCCTTCTGGAAAGAGAGCAGTTCAGGCAGTGCAGGCTTTGTCTGTCTTGAGCCCATTAATGGAGCCAGTTTTCCAGAAGGGCATAGACTCCTTCCCATAGGATAGGAAGGAAGATGAATGATGGCTTAATGGGCATATGAGAGCCAGAGAGTATGTCTGATTTTCTGTATATGTTGGCAGTCTCTTGGATTACTGAGTGTGAGAAGGAGGAAGGTTGACTGACTGCTTGGTCTCCAGAATCCATTACCAAGAGTTCCTCTAAGTAGTGAGGTGTGGTCTCTCGGGCTAGGCCTACTTTTCTGGGTACGCACTGCATGTCTTTGGAACATTTGATGCTTTTAGTAAGGATTGTGCAGACTATTACCTGAAAATAAATAAGATCATGAGCTTTCTCCACTTTCTTTGTAGGTCACTTTGCATGGCCTTAGCTCCGATATTCATAGTGGAATCCATCTAGATCAGTGTTTCTCAATTGGAGGTGATCTCCCCAACCCCTCCTTCTCCCAAGGGATGTTTGGCAAAGTCGAGAGATATGTTTAGTTGTCATGACTGGGGCAGGTGGAGCTGTACTGCTGACATCGCGTGGGTGGAGGCCAGGGATACTACTAAACGTCCTGCAATGCACAGGACAGTCCCCCACAACAAAGAATTATCTGGCCCCCAAATGTCAGCAGCGCCAAGGTTGAGAAACCCTGCTTTAGACTGTGTAATTAGAACGAGAACATATGCTGTGCTTTCAGACACTGCCCTAGACTCTTCCTTTGTGTTTTGGTCCTGGAAACTGAAGTGTTTGGCAACCTTGAGTTTTCTTCACTTCTGTTTTCAGTATCCGTGCTGAGTTTGTGTCTTCTGTCGTCATCTGGGTGAGCAGACTGTCCATCACTTGGGGGAGGATTGGGACCTAGAACTTGCGCTCTCTTATTTGGCTCTGTCAGTGGCTCTTCAGCCTGGTGTTCCATGATATCTAAGATGTCGGTGGTGATTTGTGAGAGCGCTCGGTCGCCCTTCTAGACTTTAACCCCCAAAAGGTCAAGGCATAAATACTCAGCAAACTTGTTGTGTAGTAAAAGATGTAATTATTAAGTCAGCATTGGTTTTGGAGCCAAAAGATGTGGATTTAGATCCTAACTCCACCACTTGCTTGCTATAGTGCTTGGCACAGATGTCCTACCCTACCTTTCTGAACCCATGCATACATCTCTCCCAGAGGATGATAATCCTCTCTTGCCATCCTCAGGGAGCAATTTTAAAGATATTACAAAGATGGAAGAAGAAAATAAGTGTGAAAGATCTTTGTAAAATTTATACCATTAGGCAAAGATTAGGTTGAATTGTCATTAGCACCTAAATACTTTTTGTAGCTGTAATTTTTCAATTTTTACTATCTTTGTAGGGTAAGATGTTCCATAAATCTTAGTGCTCTAAAGCAACTCCTTTTCAAATTTTCTAGAACTGTGACCAAACTCTAGTATTCTAGGGTTCTCTGAAGCATTTCAGGATTATGTGAGTTAAAGCCGTTGCACTCTTGAAGCTGCTTCTTTCCATATTAAAATAGGGATATTTCTCCTTTAGGTAGAAGTAAGCTTTGTTTATGTTGAATTCTTATAAATACATGATTAGGGACTTAACTTGGGTCTTTATCTTTCTTAGCAAAGACTAATCCCTCCATGTGTGTCCCAGATCCCATCCCCTCCTAATTTTCAGGGGCCTGCTTCATCAGTGAACCCATTTCCCTGACTCTTGGAACTCTCTTCTGAAGTTTATTCCACACTAACACATGTTCTAC